GTTTAAATTAAAATCTATGGACATCCGATTTGATCAAGGAGCTACTTGAGGAAAGCATTATATAAAACAACTACAACTGTGTTTGATACAATGCTATTTGTTTATATAAAAAAATTAATCCATGGCTTTTTGGAAAATGTTCAGGATGTAAAGTGTTAGCTTAAAAAACCTGCTGCACAATCTCAGCCTGTGAAGGCCATTGTCAAATACTCATAATCCACTCCCTCCTGAATGATCATGTGTTATATTGGTAAAAAAACACCTTGGACTTCAAAGTTCTTATTACGTTTCACATGAACTAAGATGTTCCATCTTGTCTTTCCGCAAAAGAGATTCGTGTTTCTTCAATCATAGTGTATAGCTGTGTAGAATATGATCCAAACAACCTGCAATATGAATGGGAAAGAATTACCTAATCACCTTTTCACCATACATTTCTGTATAAGTTCAGTACTTGTTTTGCTCGTTTAATTATGGAGAAAGCATATTCCTGCAGAATTAACCAGCCTGTATTAATGCAAACTGGAAGCATCTTACTGCAACACTGCGACTCAGCTATATACAGATCTAAGTAAATAATGTATTATTTGAACATTAAATGATTAAATAATAAAAAAAACAAATCAAATCAGTCTCATACCAGCACATGAAACAGCCACAATATATAATTTCAGTAGGATACCATTAAAAATGTCTGTAGCTATTCCTGACTCGATTATGTCAATTTATATGCACAGTTTAACATAGTGGCTTAACATTCGTGACCCATTCAGTTACCCCTTCCATAATTTATTATTTTATACGCTCTGTCAAGCGACAGTGTTGCACGGTGTTAAGGATTTTTTAATATGATTCAAAACATCTGGACACGGATGATTCTGGACTTGTAATTTCCTTGACCAGTACTCCAGCTCAGCAGGGTTTGGGGTTGCACTTTCAGGTGCTGGTGCTGGTGTCCCATATCTGCTCCAGGCCTTTTTTAATTCAATGTAAGCTTAATTATTTTAAATTGGCCAGTTAGGTTTTACCTTGATATTGTTAATAATAACTATTAACACTTTTTTTTAAAGACTATCAGTTTAGTATATCCAGCTATGCAGATTTGTCATAACAAACAAGACATTGATGGATATTATTGATGTGTTCTGTCACTCACATTACATAAACGTTTAATGAACTAAGCTATCCAGGTCCGGATAATTCAATCTGTAGGTCTGCATTAAGGAGAGGAGATATACACCAGTGCCTAATTGTGCATTTCAACAGAATAACCCTCTTGGA